CCTAAAGCTGAAGATGATGTTCCCGTAGAGAAATGCATCCGTATTCGTGCCGTGGAATGTGTCGTCGAACTCCTGTTTGCGTAAGTTGTCTTCCACCTTATTTCCTTTATGCTCTATTCATCAAGCAAATTGATAATATATAAATCGCTTTATAACACTAAGTATCTTTTTTTGCTAAAACGACCTGATCAACCTAGTAATTATTTTATTTTTTTCAAAAAAATTTCCTAAATATTTTGAAGCTAGTCTTCTTTTATTTTTTGGTTCTTGTTTCGCTTTACAAACCCCATCGAAAAATGACATGAGAAATTTTACGTTTATGGTAAATATGACAAGTTATCTCGACACTAACCTTGTGTAGTAAAGCGCCAACGAGAAACTCTCAATCTGCTGCTTCAATCTTGACCCGTAATTGCGAGTGAGATTAATCGCACCGCAGGTGACCCTTGCTTAGTTGAACTCTTAAGCCTCATTCCCCTCAAGTGTTGGCTACTGAAGTCCAACTTTAAATTTTCAACTTTGATTTTCTGAACATCTCACACAAAACTGTAGTATTATGAGACTTTAACGCCCATTCCACCAGATGGAGCTATTAGAATACAATCAGCTGGAAAGGAAATCAAAGACATGCTAAACGGCAACCCTCTAGAACTTATTTATAGCAATAAAATTCCTATTACATATTTGCACTACAATGGAACCAGAACAACTCCTGACTTGCTCCTCTCTTCAATCGACATCAGCGAGCATACACGCCGCAAAATAATTGACAATCCTGGTTCTGATCCCAAACCAGCCATTGCTAGTATTACCGTCGGTAGCAAAACCATGACAACGAAAGTGTCAACTAAGCTATCATGGAACTTCAAGAAGGCTGACTGGTCTAGATTCACTAACCTTTTAGAGAATTAACTTCACACAAGTCCCCTCAACTTTTCAGCATCTATGAGAATAGACAATCTGGTCTAATACTAAGTATAGAACTGAAGAAAGAATTACAAATCGATGACAAACCAAAAAGACTTGAAGAAAGCATTACAAATCGATGATAAACCAAAAAGCCGTGAAGAAAGAATTACAAATCGATGACAAACCAAAAAGCATCCCTCTCCCCATGAACCCATTAGCAGACACGTTCTCCCCATGAACCCATTAGCAGACACTGATGTAGTTTGTTTCCCAACATTGACTTCAGACACCAAAAAGCCTCTCTCCCCATGAACCCATTAGCAGACCCAAAAAGCCTCTCTCTACCCATGAACCCATTAGCAGACACTTCTCTCCCCATGAACCCATTAGCAGACGTTGATGTAGTGTATTAAGAATTAAAAATCGATGACAAACCAAAAAGCCTCTCTTCCCCCATGAACCCATTAGCAGACATTGATGTAGTGTGTCGCGCCCCGCTCACTGGCCCTTGAGACAATCAATGATCCTGGAGATCAATGGCTCCAAGTCTTCACTGATGGGTCTTTCATAGAAAACCAAGCAAACGTTGGTTCAGGTGTCTACTCTGAACTCTCCTCTTTCTACGCAACAGCGGGACACAGTAGATCCGCTTTTGAAGGAGAAATAGAGGCCATTAGGATAGCACTATGCCAATTATGTTGCTTCGGTGCGAAATTAATCAAATCAGTAATACTTTCGGACTCACAGTCAGCAATAAACTCTATTGGAAACAGAGAGCCACCCAAAACAGCTGAGATAAAGGAATGTAGAAAACTCTATGAGCTGCTGAGAGAGAAAAACAAAACAGTGGTCCTACAATGGATTCCTGGCCACTGTGGCATTAAAGGCAATGAGCTTGCTGACGCAATTGCTAAGAAGGGTACAACAATTTTGCAAGGCATTGACCGGCCGATGTCTTTCCACACAATGATGACCTTAATCAGGAGAGAATTCAATACCTCAAGGTGCAACGAACTTAATGCTCTAACAAAGGAGAAACAGTGGACAGTGGCACTCTCCGACATAACCGACTGGCCAAGAATCGAAGCCGTTGCAGAGTTTAGACTGCGTACCGGACACGATTGCTTGGCAAAACATCTTCACAGATTGGGAATATACACTCAACTCACATGCCCCCTATGTAACCTACAGGAGGAAATGGAGAAGACCCACCTGATTCGGTGTCCAGCCCTAAAGACAACGATAGGAACCCAGGGATACTGGGAAGCCAGAAGACAGCTATTGAACTGCTATTAATTAACT